GACTCTTTCTGCTATCCGTGATTTTTGTGCTCGTCAAAGACTTTTATTCCCACTCAAGAATATTTCTCCCTCCCCAGATTTTCTCAACTACTCAAGATTTGTATGCTCACGATGACTAGTCTACTAGTCCTCATGAGTTTCCTACTACTCGGGATTTTTCTGTTACTCAAGCTCCTCCTAATACCCAAACTCCTCCTATCACTCAAGCCCCTTCTATTACCCAAGCTGCTCCTATCACTCAAGCCCCTTCTATTACCCAAGCTGCTCCTATCACTCAAGCCCCTTCTATTACCCAAACCCCTCCTATCAATCAAGCCCCTTCTATTACCCAAACTCCTCCTATCACTCAAGCCCCTTCTATTACCCAAGCTGCTCCTATCACTCAAGCCCCTTCTATTACCCAAGCTGCTCCTATCACTCAAGCCCCTTCTATTACCCAAACCCCTCCTATCAATCAAGCCCCTTCTATTACCCAAACCCCTCCTATCAATCAAGCCCCTTCTATTACCCAAACTCCTCCTATCACTCAAGCCCCTTCTATTACCCAAGCTGCTCCTATTACTCAAGCTCTTATTATTCAAGCTTTCCCTTTTACTCAAGCTCTTATTACCCAAGCTTTTCGTTTTACTCAAGCTTCTTCTACCACCCAAGCTTCTTCTACTACCCAAGCTCCTCCTACCACTCAAGGTCCTCCTACCACTCAAGCTCCTCCTACCACTCAAGGTCCTCCTACCACTCAAGGTCCTCCTATCACCCAAGCTACCACAAATCTACACCAACAGTGGTCACAGAGGTACTGTAATCTCGAAGATCAATTCAAAAGAGCACACAAGTCTAGAGAAAGGTGAGCCATCATTCTTTGCTTCCTTCATTATTTGCTAGTGTTCAGAACATTAAACTAATATTCCCTCTATTCAGAGCCTTTATCTGTGCCTCACGCAGAAAGGACAGGAATTTTGCTTTTCGGATGGAGTCAGCCAGAAACGCCTCGAAATGCCACTATTTTAATACCGGATGCTGGTTGAAATTCAACGAAGACGACGTCAGAAACTGCAGGGACTACGAAAACACTTTTGAGCTTCCTGACTACTGGAATGAAGAAATTCTACCGCCCACAACCTGGAAGTCCACCTGGCCGGCGCCGAAGTATGCGACTGGTTGGTATACGCAGCCTACACTTCCTCCGCCCATTCCGAAGGCCAATTTTCAAAAACTGAAAGTCGAAGACGATGCTGTATTACCGGTCGTCCTCTCTGGAACCCCCTGCCCCACTGGGCCACCCCCGGGTTATGAATTCTATCCAAACCCCCAAACCACAGCGCCTCAACGGACATTGAACTTCAAGCCTTGCCCGTTATACCTATAAAGCACTCCGTAACTGGCCATTAACTATCACACACTCGACATCCTATAATTCGTGCTTTGGCTACTTTTTTTTGGATGTCTTGGCTCCTTTCTGTGATTGATTCTCTTTATGGATTCCTCTTCTCTATCTGTTATAATTTTTTGATCCTCTGGATTGTTTACTCTTCCTTTATATGATTGATACTTTTTATAGATTTGACTTCTCTATTTATCTTGATTTTTTTGGATCATGTGGATTATTTACTCTTTTTCTATCGATTGATTCTCTTTAGGGATTTCTCCTCTCTGTCTTAACTTTTTTTGATCATCGGGATTATTTTACTTTTTTATTTTTTGCTTTATTTCAATTCATTTTTATCATTTGTGATGTACTTGGTATTTAGGATATTTAGGAAATAAAAACAGCAGCTGAAAAGCTGTTCTGTTTTATACAACCTCTCAAACTGTAAAAGGGATGATATTATTGCGCTACTAGATAAAAACTTGAGCACAACGCTTTTAGCGGTTTAAAGGTTTAGTCCGTATTTTATTCCATAACTAGCATCTCAATTCCTCCCTGTTCATACTAATATATACCACGGTAGGCTTATTGAGTGTTGTCTGGAACCAATATGTAACTAATCATGCATTTGTAAATCCATATCTGAAATCGGCTCTTTCTCGCCAGGTCATTGTTGACGCAGCCTATGATCAATATTTCGACCCTTTAGAGCACCCGACGGGTCGATAACTAAACCCCAGGGGTTATTAAGGCTCATTGAGTGTTACTTAGAGCCAGTTTGTAATTTCCCCTTTATAAATGGGTATCTGTAACTCTGACGGCTCGTCTATGGAAGAATGATGCAAGATAGTTCACACCAAGTCAATCGAAACACATATTGCTACCAATCGTATAACTAGCGGAATTAAACACCGAAAAAGGCCAATTGTCCTTTGGGAATGTACAAATACAAATTTCGACAACGACCCAGGCTGAGATATGGAGCTATTAATGGACGAATGCTTATTGGGAGATCTATTAATATGCTGTAAGAAAGCGTATAGCACCACAAGGTTAAATATTTATTTATTATTCTATTAGATTCGTGACTTCACGTCAGAGACACCATAAGAACCGACCATTACGCCAATGAATTTCGTATTAGTAGAGGTCCAAGCAATCTTAATTATCATGGCATTCGTATTAACTCGTTCGGTTTTTAGTTACGGGTGGATGAAGAGTTACGGCCCGGACCCCCGTCCCGTTTTAACCTGGGTTTGTTAAGGGTATACCTATTTGACCAAGTTAGATGCTTGTATACACAAAGCAAATGCGAATAATATCAATAAAACGTACTTGGCAAATGCCCGTGAGAGAGCCTTTTTACAGCTTATTTTCTGACTACCAATAAAGGAGTCAACGGTTACAGCAATCGCACGGTCAATGTCGCGAGATGAACAGTATTCGGATAGGCGCATTTTGCAGAATGCCTCAGCGATTCGCATGATTGACTCAAGATGACGTACCTATTTATGGTAGGTTAGGGCCGCACAGGGGGAGAGGTAAAGTGATATCGGGGAAGTTAGCCACCAAACAATAGGAAAAAGCACGTACCGTTATAGGATATGCACCAGTGGCTAGGCTTTCTCGTCTCAAATCGGCGAAGACCTCAGCGACTTTGCCTTCATCTATTTGATATAATTTTGGATGACATTTCTCCCGTGCGTAGACGATGTACTTGCGCAATAGTTCTTGCGGGATGGCCTCCTCTCTCTGTGCCTTAAACCTGGATTCAGGAGAGTCTTCTGACCCATCTTCTTCCGGGTTCCCTTGTGCATCTTTAACTGGGTTCGAGCGATAATGCGAATTCATCACAAATGAAGCCAAGCCTTCATCCACGTCTGGGTTGACCATGTCTCTAACAACACAGAGAATATCGAAACGAGAAAGAATAGGCTCAGTGAGTTCGACATTTTGAGAAAAAGGAAGCGTACCCCTGTAGCGGCCCCCAATAGGGTTCGCAGCTGCAACAATCGAGCACCGGGCCTGGAGTGTGGTAACGATACCACCCTTTGATATAGATATTGTCTGCTGCTCCATTGCCTCATGAATAGATGTGCGGTCTTGGTCATTCATCTTGTCAAATTCGTCGATTAAGCAGGTACCTCTATCAGCCAACACTAGCGCACCGCCTTCAAGGGTCCATTCACTGGTCATTGGGTCACGACGCACATTTGCAGTCAAACCGACCGCACTGGCTCCCTGCCCAGTAGCAAAAACTGCACGATGGGCAGTTTTTTCTATGTATTTTAGAGCTTGTGATTTGGCGGTACCTGGGTCACCAAGCAATAGTACGTTGATATCTCCACGAATGTTCATTTTTCCCTGAGCCACTTTGCTGACGCCACCAAACAGTGAAAGAGCGACCGCAGTCTTGACGTCCCCATGGCCATAGATACTTGGGCAAATTGAGGCAATGATCTTCTCAACAATATTAGGGTCCTTAGATAGGGCTTGGATTTGATGTTCATCTTCCTCAGTCAACTGAAACCCAGCCAGTTGATCATGAGATTTGACAATGTGGTTAGCCTCGATAATTGTGCTGAAAACTGGTAACCCACTTCTTTGACTCATTGGAAGATCGTATTGATTGCGGTAAATACCGGTGATTTCAACCTCATCACCAGGTTTGGCAGAATCAATCAAATCTGCCAAAAGAATAACATCACGATGGCGTGGGAGTCTACCAGCGGGTACAGTCCCCGGAGATTCTTGAAGGGTTAATTTCTGGAAGTTACGATATTCAGTTCTCTCAGAGTTCAATGTGAAGGGCCCACGGCTTTGGCAGTTTTGACAAAACGAGATTTTCAGCTCGCTACTTGACTCTTGCTCAAAAGGTCCAAGCGTGATGCCGCATTTGCTGCAGTTGAACATAATGTATTTCAATTGCGGGAAAACACCGGTTCGTCTTGTAACCACACCGCTAACACAGATAAGGCAGTTGAGATGGCTTTGCCGAAGTTGTCGTAGGGTGTATTTCACGGGTAGGTTAGTGATTCGTACATGGATTTCGCTATGGATGCGGTGATAGTCTCTGTAGTGCAACAATGTAGCTTCCATAGCCACCTGGTCGAAAATTTTGAGCACTTCGGCTGGAGCGTTCGCTAGGAAGTATGCGATGATCGATTTTGACTCGCTGAGATGAGGATATGCGACTTCAAGAGACTCTGAGTTCTCTTCTCCGAGATTCTTCACGAGGGTACCATAGACTGAAATGCCGTCCTTGTCTGTGAACTCCGTTAGAAAGGATTTGAACTCTCGGTAGATTGCCCTATGAATAGCTGGAGTAGCTACCCATTCCGTAAGATTATCGGCTTTGATATCGGCCATATCTTCCAGAGTTAGGTCAGCTTCTGGGTCATCCATGTCAGCGTTCTGGCTCTCCTCATCATAGTTGCGTCTGTGTCTGCGTGTCTGTAGCGACAGATCGGGAACACCCTCAAAGTCGTCTTCCTGCATGAAAGCAGCCGGCATTTTTCGCCTCCGAGCTATTTCGCGGTCTCGTTTATTGAGCCGTGCCTCAAGTTGTCGTCTTGCTGCCGGGTCTAGTTCCTCTTGATCTGCGTCATCGATATCGACTCCCGCGTACCCATCATCGGGACGATTGGCATAATCTCTTTCGAAGTTGTCTGCGAAAAGATCAATACCATCGTCATCCTCAGCCATCTCCTCTAGATCGTCTATATCGGGAACAAACCCTTCCTCTGCCGCTATGTCATCTTCATTGTCGGCCTCATCAAGAGGCAGCATTGGCGGGGAGGAAGGAGGCGCTAAATTTGCTGATTAGAAACCATCTTAAGATACACGCCGTATTTTGACCGATCACAGATTTAGCTTACGGCTCGAAGGGGGTGGTGCCGAGGAGTTGTCATCAAGGCCGTCATGACCACGCTTCCTGCTGGTCAGATTTGTTCGTCCTCTGTTACCAGCAGAGTTACTTGGGCGTAAAGGAGAGCTATATGAAATCGGAGAGTAGTTAGAAATATCCAAGGACCTGGAATGAATTTGGCAGTCTCGGTGGGATGTAGGGGTTACCTCATTGTAAGCAATTCACTTCCTACAGCTTTCCGCTGTCAGAGCCTTACAAGTAAAATGAATAGCAACACCGTAACTTCGGACCTTATGAGTGGGAGAAATATGTCTGCCCAGTCTTTGATATTGCTGGCGCGTTAGACGTTGTCTGTCTGATGTCGCGCGGGAGGGACGAAAAGCTCGTCGATCGATTTGATGGCGGGCGTTAAATCGAACTAGAAGAAGCGCGCGAACGCGTCGCGTCGCGCCAAAAATAACCGCGTTATCCAATTTAGCCTAAACGGGGAATCAGTGCAAACAAGACAAACAGAGACGACATTCTGGCTCGCGACGAGAAAGAAACGCCCGAAGATGCGCAAAGGAGAAAGCCGAACGAGCGGAGGAATAGCTGCTTCAGCTTATTGTCAGCCCAGCTTCCAATATCATACTGCTTGCTACCGCATACTACACGGGAGATGGATCCAAATTCGGTTTCTAATCAGGGAGATGGCGCTGAAGCTCCTCCAAAGCGACGCGAGAGCTTCGTATCCGAGAACTCTCAGACGGCCTCTGAGTAAGTGAGAGCTATTGTCGCTAATGACATATTTACTCAGATCAGAGTGAGGTTCTAATAGCTGCTTACTAGATTCATAAACGAACAGTTGAAGCTGGAGGCTGATGCGCGGGAAGCCTTGCCCTATGTATGTCGCTAGAGCGTCCGCCACTCACCCTTCGAAGGCTCGAAGACTAACACAGCTATATTCAGTCATTTGATACTTGCACGCGACCGCTTGGGGCTCTACGACAAAGTCTTTTTTCTTGCATTACTTGCAACCCTCCTCCTGAAAATCCCACTTCCCCCTATAATGCTGCAGGTGTCTGCTACTCCTGCTCTATTTCGTGTCATGGAGAGCACGAGTTGGTTGAACTATTTACAAAGCGCAACTTCATCTGTGACTGTGGCACTAGAAGGTTACCATCGACATCCCCCTGTACCTTGAGAGTAGACCCGGCTACTGGCCAGAAAGGTGCCAACTCGGAGGATCCCACTCCGGATAATAAATACAATCAAAACTTCAGGAACAGATTCTGTGGCTGCAGCGACACATACGATCCTACTAAGGAGAAGGGGACGATGTTCCAGTGCCTTGGTATTGGCACAGTTGAAACTGGTGGCTGTGGAGAAGACTGGTGGCATCCTGAATGTTTAAGAGGGCTACCTCGTATTGCGAGTACTGATAAAGAAGAGGACGAGGACTTGCCTTTACCGCCCGGATTTCCTGATGAGGATGACTTTGAGACGTTTATATGTTATAAATGCTTGGACTCTAATCCGTGGCTAAAGCGGTATGCGGGAACACCGGGATTTCTGCCTCCAGTGTACCTCGAGGAGAAGGTGCTGGGAGATCCAGGCGAGGCACTAAAAGAGGGGGGGAACAGTACTCCTGAGCCACTCGCTACCCCGCGCAAAAAGAGAGCGCTTGAGGATGATGACTCTACCGAGCCAGGCGTGAAACGAGCAAAACAGGAGTCCTCAGCGCATTTGGTTGAACTTAACACTCCAACGGCAAAGACCAAGGAAAAACACGATTTACTTCCATTGGATACCCCTGAAGGGCGGTTTTCGCTCTTCGTCAAAGAAGACTTTCGCGATCACTTGTGTAAATGCGTGGAATGCTTCCCTAATCTTGAACCCAACCGTCAACTCCGCGAGGAAGAAGATGTTTATGAGCCTCCACTATCCGAAGATGGTGATGGGCAGAATGCTAACAATAGTGCTGGAAGCATTTACACTGGGAGTCTCCTGGATAGAGGTGAAGTTGCGCTTAGCAACTTGGACCGAGTCAAGGCGATCGAAGGGGTCATGGTCTATAATCATCTTCGTGACAAAGTGAAGGAGTTCCTGAAACCATTCGCTGAAAGTGGCCAAGCGGTTGGAGCAGAAGATATTAAATCCTATTTTGAGAAACTCAGAGGTGATGACCAAGCCATTCGAGAGGCCGGTGGGAAACCCTCTACTTCTCGCGACGAAGATGAGGTAGAGGATGACAAAAAGGGAGACAATCGAAGAGAGCAGAGTGGTAAGCAGTGGCTCTTTACCAAATTCGTATCGAGGCTATTTACTAAGCAAACTATCTCTACGTGGCCTACAGGATACTGAGTCAAGAACTCTCTTTATTTTTTTCCCCCGACTGTTGTCGAGAAGTACGAGAAGTATCCCACTGGTACAGTGCGATGGCTTATCTTGACCTTCTGACACATGTATTGATATTCCTTTTTCGTCCGGACGCTGGATCTAGTCATGGTCATGATATAATGAAATACTAAATACCCCAATATCCTAAAGAGTCTATTGCTCCTGGATCTCTCTGCTTGCTGCCCTACAACGTTCTTACCCCCCTAACTAACAATACAATCAGTGGCCCAGCGATGATACGATGGCCCATGTAACTATCAAATATAGCTTCGAACCCCCGACATCTTCTTCGCCATAGTATCGGAAAACGCCGCTTGGTTCAGTCAGATATGCTATCAAAAAACCTACTTCAAAAACCTACTTCACCGCAAAAGACGGTGGCTGTGCCCAAGACGGCGGCTGGATACAGGGATAGCTTTTTTTATGGGAATGGATCGGACGAGGAGTGTGCTGAATGTTGATGGTAAGGGAGGAAATATTCCGCTCCCTCAACTGTCATACAGGATAAATGCGTGTAGCTATAGCTCAGTATTCTAAGTAGAAATTGTGAATCTTTGTGTAAATCAATTATGTTAAACACATCGCAGCAGCTGGGTCAACAGCCACAAGAGAGTAAGTCGTAGAATTTGAGCATTCCAAAAGCAAAATATCGATGGACGTCGAGATGTTCACGTGACCAATCTTGGCCGCTTGGGCCGGGCCCATAAAAACGTCCCATCCGCGAGGGTTTGCGACGCTGCAAAGAACAAGCACCAGCATGGATCAATAGAGGGATAATGGCTTCTTTTTTAATTCCCATTTTCTAGACTGTATTATGTTTCCAATGACCTGCTTGACATTCTCATAATTTTTTTTTTTTTTTTCCTTTTCTTCGCTATATTTTTAGTGCCTATTTCGATTACACCTCCTTCAGATGGCTTCTCGATCAACGACCAAAGGCATACACCGTACCGTACAAGTGGCCTTCGATGGTAAGGCAGTCTCAACTTCCCAAGGCTTATATGGGGGCTTTTACCCGCATTATACCTCAAAGTCAACTTCCCCACCAATTTATCCTGCCTTCAGAACACATGCACTTTTTGATATCCAGCCCTGATTTCAAATTACGCTGAATCGTTCTCCTTTATACCCTTTCGTTTAAATCTTTCAAGTTTCAACACGACATCTCTAAGATGGTCTCATATTATTCGGTCTTGATCCGTGAGAATAATGACGTGGCTGATTCCTGAGCCATCTCCGGCATTGCCGGCTACCTCATCCCCGATTGACAACCATTGACAACCACAACTTGGATCTACTATCAAAGAAGTATTACACTGGCCGTTTATATATCCACCAATATGTAGCTGGCTGTCTCCATACTGTTTATTTCTCTCTGTGTTTGATCTTCTTCTCATGACCTTGGCTACTCCGGTTACCCCTGGATACTCGCTAACACATCATTATAGATTCTGCCAATCAGATGAAGTCCCCAGGCTTCGGTTACACTAGCAAAGTTCGCATAAGAGAGAAATACCATATCGTTGGTTTTATAAGCAGTGGTACCTATGGGCGAGTTTATAAGGCCGTTGGTAAAAATGGACAAAAAGGCGAATTTGCTATCAAAAAGTAAAGAATTTCTTCGTCGTCTTTTGAGCTAATACTAACAAGAAAATTTACTCTAGGTTCAAACCTGATAAAGAAGGAGAAACAATCCAATACACAGGACTTTCGCAATCTGCAGTTCGAGAAATTGCTCTGTGTACTGAATTAAACCACCCTAATGTCGTGAGACTTGTCGAGATTATTCTCGAGGATCGATGCATTTTTATGGTATTTGAGTATACCGAGCACGATCTCCTGCAGATAATACACCATCATACTCAGCCTCAGCGACATGCCATCCCTGCCCCGATGGTGAAGTCAATCCTCTTCCAGCTACTCAACGGACTTTTATATCTCCACTCAAACTGGGTCCTCCATCGTGATTTCAAACCAGCTAATATACTGGTTACTTCTTGCGGTGCAGTAAGGATTGGCGATCTTGGGCTTGCCCGGTTATTTTATAAACCGCTAAACTCGCTATTTTCCGGTGACAAGGTCGTGGTGACAATATGGTATCGCGCACCTGAGTTACTCCTTGGCAGCCGGCATTACACCCCAGCTGTTGATCTCTGGGCGGTTGGGTGCATATTCGCCGAGCTACTATCTCTCCGCCCAATATTCAAGGGAGAAGAGGCAAAAATGGATAGCAAGAAAAACGTGCCTTTCCAACGAAATCAAATGCTGAAAATCATGGAAATTCTCGGGATGCCACTGAAGCAAAACTGGCCTGGCTTAGCTTCGATGCCCGAATATGGCCAGCTTCAAGCTTTTGCGTTAGGCCCTGGGACAAGCCATATACAGAAGCTATCGAGCTTAGAGCCATGGTATAACGCCTGTTTGAAGAACGGTTCATATTCGCCATCCTCAACGGCAGGAACTCCGGGGAAAGAAGGCTTTGATCTTCTCTCACGGCTTCTAGAATATAACCCAGCGAAAAGGATTACGGCAAAGGAGGCATTAGAGCACCCATACTTTTCAACAGGTAGCCCAATTACAGCAAATTGTTTCGAAGGATTTGAGGGGAAATACCCAAACCGACGGGTAAGCCAGGACGACAACGATATTCGCACTAGTAGCTTACCCGGCACAAAGCGGAGTGGCCTACCAGACGATTCCCTAACATCCAGGGCAGCGAAGCGTGTACGAGAGATGTGAACTGATGGTACCATAGGCTCAGGAGCTTTTTTTTTTACACCGGATTGATGCTTGGTTCATCGAATCATGATTTAAATAACCTCACCCGGCACAAGGCAGGTGCGCTTCGAACATGGAAATCAATTGTAACATGGCTAGAAGTGTCAGCCGCATAACTACATCTTGGGGCATGTGGATGTTAGGGAATCATCTACAACGCAAAAATCTCTGGATCAAATACCAAAATATCGAAACTGGGACATGCTTCACAGGAAGCAGCGTTGTGAGATTACCCAATAACTCCTCTGGGAGTCCTTTGTGGCAATGGTAACTACCTGTCGTAGTACGACATGGTTACCGGATCTCCCCTAACAACGCTCAGATCATATATCTGGAAGATGAAGCGGACTGTAAGTTCTTAAAATCGCATACCCTGGAATGCAAATATCAAAGACCTCTTTCGATCGGTTCTATAAAAAGAGCTTTTTTCATATACAGATCGAACCCATTCTACGACTCTTCATTGAAAAGGAGCATATAATCGGTATTATTCTACATACTCGTACCGACTGCGGCCCGAAGCAACAGGGTAAATGACCAGAAAAGCATGTAACTAGCCCGGTTTGCATCTATCTGGCGGGAAGAAGCTGCGTTGAATATATTTCCATTACGGTCAACTTCATACTTTATTATAACACCCTCTCTTTAATAGAGATTAAGGTATGCCACAATAGCGATAGGGGAGTTAAGGAAACAGAAACTATAAAACTCTGAGTCTCCCATCTGTACCTCATAGTGAGACAGAAAGAGAGAACGTTCATAGTTAATGACTTATTGATCCGTGAGCTTTCTCCTTTTCAAGCTTGCAGTTCTACGATGGATTCCTCCTGCTTCTCGAATAACACACTAATTAGTACAACGCCCCCAAGTATGGTCCTCAAATTAGTGACGTTGGCATCCTATAAAAGTTCAGAGAAGCATTTCAAGCAAAGCTTTGCCTTACCAGCGTAACTTTGATCAACAATGGATCGTCTTCGGTTTAGAAGTACTATAGATAGTTATCTTCACTTGCTTAATGCATGGACTGGGAAGGGTCTCCTTTCTAATATGAGCTATGAGCAGATGCCATTCTCCCCAATATCTGGCCGAACTTTTGCAATCATTTAACTATTTACTTAGTTAATCCTCCCGGTTATAACTAGTCCAGAGAACAATTTACGAGTATTGTGTCCTTCGGTAGCGAGTATAGATTTTGATCTCCAGTGCCACATTTGGCAATTTAATCTGATCCAAGAAAAGAAAATAATCCATCACCGAACGGTTGGTTGTCGATGCTTTCAATGCATGTTGATGGCATATATGATTAAGTTGCATATTTTGTTGATTTTGCAATGCTAAGAGCCGTCACCTTCTACTGCGACAGTTCGTGACACGGTGTCCAGCCGTATATTCTTTACCATATAGGAATGAATATTAGAGCAGAGGGAGGATCCCCAGTTTAGAGTGGGCTTGGATGACGAGATGAAAGAAATCCACGAGAATGCCTCTGCCGACGCATGTCCTTGATGCTTGTTTTTCTTGGTAAGCATTACCTTACGCCCTAGTTAATGCTTAATATCGGGTGCTGTAAGTAGGGCATAAAAGAAAATGACCAGTAGAGACTTGGTTTGGTCGTCTGCAAGTTGCAACGCTGGGTGTGGACTCATATTACTGAGAAATGGTATCTTGATAGATATGCACCCAATAACTATTAAGATTCCTTACATACCGTAGTTGTTTCTATATATGATGAAGCAGACTTAAAAGTTATGAATAAGTGCGCCAGTAAGGAAGCCCTAAAGTTCATACCAGAGCAGATGTGCATGCCATTTGTTTTGCTGGACTTCCGATATAACCTGGCTTGCAAATCTATTGAGGAGTTATGCATAGCACTACTAGTAGATTCGGATTTTATGGCTTTCGTATGCCACCAACTAGTAACACTTCTATAGAAAAGAAGAAACTGGGGAAAATAAAATTGAAGAGTGCCAGTTTGAAAAACTTTACAAAAACGGCTGTGTTTTGACCAGTCTTTTAACATTCTCCATTATCAGTAATAACCTTGTGAATGTATCGCCCCTCTCATCTTGCGCATCTATTCTTTCCTGCGTCTGAATGGTTTTCATCATGGCCCGAGTGATTGCATCGGCGTTGCTCCCTGCATCTGCCGACATTTGAGAGTTGGGAAGGCTTTCTGAATTGCACTGGTTCCAGGATAGGCCAAGTGAATCGTGGAGGCGACATAACATGCGCTCGCTGACCTGAATAGCTATAGATATCTCCAATCTTACTCCTACATAGGATTGAAAAGAGCCCAGTTTGAGTCCTGGAAATATTCGGAGTTCACCAGAGGGAGTGGGATCAATGGCGCTTGGGAAAAGGAGAAAGGCCTGGAGGTCCGTGAAGAACAAGGCGAATGCTCGCGCAAGACGAAGGTAGCAGGAAACAGAAGAATCGTGGAAGTATCAACTGGTGGTTGCTTGCTAGGCGTGAGAGGAGATAACAGGCTGGTGCTATCACTGGAGCTGAAATAGGACAGATCCGAAAACGGGTGTGCCAGCATATCAGAACAGTCATTCATTATGGCTTGCTCATTAAATAGACATGAGTCGATGTCGGGGATAGATTCGCTGACAAATTCCGAACATATGATACGCAGACAACCATCATTACTGTCCGAAATAGGCATTAGTTGCCTTATGAGCTCAGTGAGTCTTCGAACCTGCTCCAGCATGCCGTGTATTGGAAAGTTGCGCAGCCGTGAGAATACCCCTTTTTTATCGTCGCCAATGCAGTTCCTCATTCTTTGCAGGAAGCGAAGTTGATCGTACTGTGCTAGCCCAAATGCCATAAGTTCTCGAACATAGTTATCAGGTGCCATCTCCGTGGTGGAGCGTTGAACCCTAGGCACTTCGCTGGTCTTCTTGGTATAGGGCGAAATCGTTATGTTTTGAGACGTCACGTCTTGCATAATTGGCTTCTCCGTAAGTAAAGCCACCGAGCTCTCCGGAAACGGCATATGATCATTATAAAATGATAGCATATCAACTTTAATGCTTGATTCGTCTATGTGAAAATCAAACATTCTGGCATCATCACAGGGCAAGCCAATAGCAGCCCCCTGGCGAGGAGAGAAGAGTGGTTCAGGGCTTGACGGTAGTGGAGAGCTTGCAGATGATCGCCGAGGAGCATTGCGAGGGCTAATCCCGCCATCTGACTTTGAAGAACCACCAGCCGAAGTCGTCGATGATACCCCTGATCTTGCAGGTCGTCCTATACGATCCGGAGGGCTATAGACGCACTGGACAGATGCACGCCGACAACGTTCGCATTTACTCCCAGGCTCGGTACCATCAGACCGTAAACATCTTAGTTTTTGGGTGTGACATCGATTGCAAGCCAGGCGTAATCGTGATTCAGATGACCTTGTCTGCGTAGTCTTTCTCTTTTGGCCTTGTGACCTATCGTGGACAGGTTTTGCTGCAAACTTGGGATCTCTTAACATAGTTTTGGTAATCTTGAGCTGTGACGTGAACAAATTTGAGAAACTGGAAGGTTCTAGAACGAGAGGAGTTGGCCGTATCAAAAATAGTGAGGACGATATTATCACTCCAGTCAATATAAAGCTGTACAGCTCATCCAAAGATATGTGCTTTGAATACTCCATAAGTCTCGAGGAATGAAAGGGAGGGAGCGAACTAAATGCCTCCCCAAAAGAACAAACTGAATTAGTCGCTTTGTGGTTGGAGGCGACGGTGTGCTTCCTCCCAGGGTTGATCTACATATCTTCAAGCATGGTCTTTCTCGTATTGAACGCATAGGCTATTCCAACAGCATCAGGTTACTCAAAAAATAAAGCATGTCCCTGTAATCATTTGGGAGTGGATATCATCGTTAACCACACACAAGAAGTCTTGGGTAAGAGCTTGTTTTACTTCACGAAAATTAACAATAATAACCATTCCAAAGTCCCTGAACAGCCCAGGGATTAAGTCAGGGGCAAGAATGCCCAGTCTCCTTATCCTACTAGCAGGCCAACCAATGACCGGCCAGAGACACATAGAAGGGATTGTGAGAGGGTATATATTTTCAGTTAGTTTCCTGTCCTCCGTATAAACAGTGAGTAGTTAGGTGAACGCTGCTGACAGTCCTGAAGGAGCAAGACTGAACAGTGAGGTTTGGGTATAGAAGAAGCCCTCTCCTGAACATCAACTTTGTCAGTGCAATGAAGTTGTATTTCTTGCTAGCAATGCAAGCCCCTCTAGCCTAGTAACTATACTGGAGCTAAAAGCTAAAGAGCACAATACGAACGTGCGAAGCATCCGGCCTGGATCGGCAGCTATGGTTATCAATTTAGCCACTGGAAACTCCCTTTGGTTACGGGAAGTGGGGAGGTGTCATGCCATGAGTTATATTTTACCCAAGCATTTCCACGTGTGCAAAAGAACATGTAAGGAGTACGATGCACCTATCTGCCCTTGTTGATCCCGTACGATCATGGCGAAATGAGGTTACAGTTGACCTCCTCCGTCCATCCTGGGGCGGAATAGGCTGTATACTAACCATGGGGTAATTAATGTTGTTGGGAGAGCTGGAACATGCACTCCCCTCGGAGCAAAAAGCCAGAGACACGATGCTGCAAATGTATGTAAGACTTGGCAGTTAGCTACCAAGTTAACTACCACTTACAAATTCTAATTATGATATTACCTGGCCATATAACGGGCCAGTTAATTCATATTTTGAGTTCGCGGTTCGTATGCTGCGAAACTGGGAGGACCATGGGTGGCTTGTGCCGTATCCCCTTTGGGTCCCCCGAGGGCTCTCAGAGAACTAACCGGGGGGTTAACAGCCTCGAAAGGGAACAAGAAGAATGCATCGTCACGATCATACCACCTGCTGCCCAGAAAGTTTTGATGGAGAAAACAACCGGAAGTGTCTGTCGACCCTACGGAGTTAAGAGGGCCACAAAAACACGAGGCTGGCGATCTTCGTCGTCCAGTTAGTTAGTTAACCTTATTAATAAGCTTATTAAGCTAAATCGCTAAAAATATAAAAAGAGCCGAAAGCCTTGGCGCGATGCATCCAGTCTTCAATCGAAGCCAGCGAGTTACTAGCATTCGCATCGGGTTAAAAAAAAGACATGACTGTCTAGAATTCTCGGTGAGATTAGTTGCTGATCGTGTCATGATACCTTACCTGCGCAAATGATTTCCAATTTCTATAGCTAGGAATGGCCGACACGCCGGTCCTGGGAGTCACATCGCCAACAAGCTAGGATATCCCTGTGCTGGCTACGAAGATGGAACTCCATTGACAGAGGACATGAGCACGATATTGTCTAAGATTGGTTAGCTCGAGAAATTCACAAGTTCCTTGAGCGCTGTATTCGGATAGGGTTGCAAGATTATACTACATCGTGAAGTAACAGCTCAGAAAACGAAAACAAGCTTCTCCCCTGATACTCTTCCTGATTTCACCTCGTCCAGCCCCTCGAGGACGTTATCCCATGTTGCCTGTTCCTTGATTCTAAGCGGATGCGGCTTCATCTTTTTCTCATCGAGTATTTGCTGGAGGATTTGAGCCAGTTTCCCGCCGAACGCCCTTGTTTCCTCGCTGCCTGGCCGTTCATAAGGTGGTGGCCAGGCAATGTCTTTACCCAGCATTGATATGCCCACAATCCAGGTAGCCTTGATGGCCTTCCTAGTATGTGCTGTTGACTCCCAGAAAGGATCTAACGAGGTGTAGTGACCGCCAGCACGGCCAATGGCACCATAGCAGATATCAATCGAACCCTTCGTCGAGATGCAGTCGAGCGCATATTTCAAGTTGTTTCTGGTTGCCTTTTTGATGTCTTCAGCACAGGTTGGGGAGCGATAATCGAAGACTTCTTCCGCTCCGTAGCTCTTAACTAGCTCATAGTTTTTGGGAGAACAAGTTGTTATGGGGCGGAGGCCCGCGAGTTTGAGAAGTTGAATCGCCGTTGTCCCTACTGAAGTACTTCCGCCGTAAACAAGAACAGTTTTGGGTTCCTTTGCCGGGCGTAGTATTGGCCAGACATCTAGTTCTGCCAGGAGATTTTGGAACAAGGCTTGGCCAGCAGTGAACCAGATAGTGGACATCGCTCCACCGACAGACCAGGGAACATTTTCGGGAAGAGTCAGAGTGATGTCCGCCGGGGCACTGACATAAGTTGCAAAAGCTCCAGACGAAGGGTCCAGTGGATCAGATCCCATCACTGCGCCGCTAACTCGGTCACCAACTTTGACATCTCGTTTTACCCCTGAGCCCACTGCCACAACAACACCGGCAAAGTCACACCCTCCGATCAGGCCAGGTTTTGAAAACCCAGCTTCCATCTTGGTGTCGACAGGATTCACCGATACCACTGCTGTTTTAACAATAATCATGTCTGGCTTGAGTGTGGCCACCTGGGCTTCGTGAGAGACCCGCAAGTTTCCATCACTTCCAAAGGTAAGGGCCGTTTGTTTGTCCGGGAGTTGAGTCATTGCCGCGTTTCGTAGTCCTGATTCTGCAGTGTACTGGGAAGAAGAGAACGGTGTTCGGGTTTTCTCCCGCTTGATTCTTTTTATTTTCTAACAATGAAAGCAGCTCGGAAAATGCATTATATTTTTGTCTCGTTACATCGTGAAATCTCCTCGGCGCTGGTCATCGAAGCATGGTCGCAATTAAACATCCGAAAATCCCCGAATCGGCGCCATCAGCCATAGTTGCAAGGCTCTGAAAGCGTTGTCACCGAAATTCAAAGTTAAAAATCATTCCCCGCTAGAAGAACGAAAGGGAATCCATTCTATTCATCTCTGAAAGGGGTGGGATCTTGTGCCTTTGCAGATTAGCGGTGCCTTCTTGTTGAAATTAGCTATAACTTAAAAAATAAAAATAAAAAAACCTGCAGGCGTTGAGTCTAGATTGCTCCATGAATAAATTCAAAGGAAGAATAATGATAGCGTAGGGTCAAGATTTCTCACTTCCTCAAATAATACTTCTAACACCCTGTCGCTGGGAACCTTACAGTTGACGGTTACTAATCCCTTTATAGTCAGATTTCAGTGCCGTCATTTGAATATGTACAATGGTAGCCATCCCTTTCTTTGCCGGCTCACCGATTTCGCCCCCAGTTACTGTTGAGATGAAGCCATTATTTCCTGTTTTTGCAGGAGGTGCCTCCGTAGGCATGCTCCACCACAACGTTTCATGTTTGAGCTCAAAAGACCAGTGCTTATTCTGACCGGGAGATACGAAATCAATTCTGTAGCCAGTCGTGTGGTCCGAGTAGTTTCCCCTAAGTTCTCCGCTGTAGGTAGAACGAAACGCTAAGTAATTGTCACTCAAGGAGACACTGTCATCTGAGACCATTTCAAAAAGTACTGCATCTTCTTTCACCAAAGTAGCCCGGGTATATGTCTTGCCGGGATGCAGACGACTATAGAGACGGAAGAGTGCGAATGTGTAAGGACCCGCGTGGCCTCGAACGTAGGTAGTGCCTTCCATCATATCTTGCATAGGTTCGGTAGAACGACAGTAATCTTTACCTCCACATCCTTCAAATTGTAGGTTTTTGGATTCTCCATCCTGAATAAAAGTGAAGTCCGCAATTGCCTTTGCACGAGGAATTGAATGAACCCAAGATAGGCCAGGCCCTATCAACTGGGATTCTGTAGAGTTTTCAATATTTCTCCCACCTCGTTGTTGAAGTGTTAAGGTCCCTCGGGTAGTGGGCATGTTAATGGTAACGGTTGCCTCAGACATATCAAGTGAAACTTCATACTGTGCCCATCCTGCATCGCCAGAATCGTCCTCTTTCCTTCCTCCTACCCATTTCCCGGTGATCTTCCCGGCCTCCAGGTTGGCTTCGACAGCACTCTCTGAAGCAAAAAGTTCACTTGCAATCTTCGTCCCATCTGGCAAGCTTGCTCGAAATGTAGAACGTATTGGGCATTTTCCTAATGCAGTTTGCGTTCCGTCTCGGAAAAATGTCATAGTCACTGCAACGTTGCTGGTTGTCAAGTCGACAGCATCGAAGATCCATGCCTCTAAATGAGTTTTGCTCATACAGGCGAGGTGGGGGAAGAAAATGTGTTTGTATTCCGTGATATGAGGAGCAGGCCCGTCTATCACAGGGTCCTGTCGTTTGACATGAGATATGATAGGTTGTGCGGATTGCATTTCAACGTTGTTGAAAAGTCACCCTTTTTTGGCAATATATGGTTTGAGAAGGGTGAATGCACATATGTGCTGAATATTGCAACGGGCTTGGAGTAGTAACTATTTTATAGGTGAAACCGGTTCATATATTGCCAGTATTTAAACGATCATAGCACAGGCGTGCCAGAGGAAGAGGCAGATTGCATTGCAGGGTATCTACTTGAGATTCAAGATTTCGGTGGCGGATTTGCTATTCAAAACGTGTTGAGCGATTCCCATTCACGGTGTCCCTCTCGTCTCCCACCGGCGACATATAAATATGACATGAAAGTCACCGAACCGAGCCGGAGGCCTGGGCACATGATTGGTAATCTGCTCCCCATGAATCGTCGTACTCGGCAGTATAGCCACGAGTTGCAAGGGTATCAAGATTGCGGAATCTGTCGGATACCAAAGAAGCAAGGTTACGGGACTATTCGGTCCCAATCCCGCTCAATTCGTCTGGCACCGAAAATGACTTGACCGCCCATATTTGCGCTAAATGAGCCCTTTGGCAAGTAATTAAACTAAAAAGTATTCCACCTGTTGGTGTGATGAAAATAGCAAGAACCCGCACGGTCAAAGTAGATTCTTCACACCCTGTTTTCCGATACTAGAAATACAAAGAGCAACAATAGCATGTCGTCTGAGAAAGCTTTCTGACTAAACACTCAATTTCCAAGCTTGCCTGGAACTGAAGGATATTATTCGTTGCCTTTACCGCAGACCCACACCTCTCAATGGGAGACGCCTCAGCAGTTAAGCAACGATACGGAACTAAGAAGTTATCGGCGGCTAACCTTACCTCCTTATTTTTAAATACAGTCATATCTATCATTATACTATAGCTAACTAATCGACATTCTGCTCCCTAAACTTCATATAGTTAATTAACAACATATATGATGTGCTTAGGTTCAGCGGGTAGGTCTACCTGATTAGAGGTCAACTTGAAATTTTCTTTGGAAGTATAACGAGAATACGTATGCCTGGCCCACAGTGGCAGGGAGCTTTCGTTGAAAAAGCCCAGATAAAGCGAAATGTAGTGGTAAATCTTTCTGTATGAGCAAAGAGAATATACAAAGGCAAGCCAAAACGGGATGACACAAAAGGGCGGACATGAATCATCGATCACTCTCTGCCAAGATATATGGGGAAATTATCACTATTCTCTGGATTGGTACTGTAGCTTGGATGCTTTTTTGAGGACCAAGGAGCTAGAGGCTGCCGATGTTGAAGACTCTGATGTTCGGCCAACCTTTTTGATACTTAGAGCTAAATCCCGAGCAACTGGCAGTTTCTGCTGTAACAGGCACTTGGAAACTCGACAGACAATGTTTCCTTTTTATAGTTGTAAATCATAATAAATGCCACAGAGATGATAGGCTTATTTATGTTTGTTGCCATTACAGCGTAACATTTTTTCTTGCTCGCAACTTCCTTCCAAAAGCTTGTTCAGCGCTCTGGATCTCTTGGCCTTCACCTTTTGCTGTGGTCTTTCGTCGTTTCGCTGGTTGCTCTTCTCCTGACGATGTATTCGTGAGTGTTAAATCGTCTTCGCCTTCTCCTTCTAGAGATGACTCCCCTTCTTTCTTCTTCGCCCCACGCACGCGGGGTCTGGCTTTAGGTATTAGCCTGCGCTTTCGAGGGCGGAGCCATTCTTCCATCCCTGGAGGCCAGTAAACCCGACCATATGGGCCCCCCATGTTTACCTCTTCGGGATCGAGCTTTTGCTGGCTAGTCCCAACGAGAATGTGAGTTTTCTTAGGAGTTTTCGCCCAATCTTCCCTGTAATGTGGAATGACGTGGTTTATTTTTTCGAAACCAGGGAGTTTATAGATCTTCATAAGCTCAAAAACAGCCTGTTCTTTATCTTTGGCTTCAATCATGAGATCCATAGTTGGATCACAGGGTGGGAGTGTGGACACTCTGGCGTTATGTTTCCGTCGCTGCACTTTGGTTATTGCTTCTGGGGTGGGCTCAGAATAATGCATCTTTTGTGTTTTTCCTTTTCTTATCCACGTTGATCTTATCCGATCATAAAGCGTCATTATATCGAGGGTGCCTTCCCGAATCTGGTCTGGATTAAAGTGGATATTATGGTGGTGATAGTCCAGGACGAAGGGTATGTTCAATTCCTCGCATACAGGTAGAAGGTCATGCACAGTCCAGCTCATATCATCATTCTCCAAGACAAGCCTGTCTTTGATATCCCGAGGCAGGCCCAAGTAAGCCGCTCTGAACCGACTGAGAGTTCTCTCTTTGTCTCCAAAGGTGCCACCCATGTGCAGAATAATAACAGCATCACGATCCATTTGAGGCGGTAGATTCAAGAGGTTTAGCATCTCTGCATGGTACGCTAAATCCCTGATGGAGTTACTGATCACTTCCTTGCGTGGTGAGCCAAGTTGAGTAAACTAACTCTTGTTAGTGTCTGATGATTAGGAAAGCCCTATAATTCAGATACATACTTACCTGACCAGGGTGAACAGTGAGACGATGATCAAGTTCGGCGGCAACAGCTCCTACCTCAGCTAGGGCCTTGGATGCAAACGGAGCTAGTTTATATCCATATTCTGCATGACTCGCAAAGGGGAACATCTCACTGCTGATTCTCATGAAGCGGATTCCAAACCGTACGTTCCAGCGGATCATGGTTACCAAATCTCGGGTATTCGCTAAACCCAGCTCCTGCACGAATTTTTGGCCTCTGGCTATATCTGGAGATTTGGTACGGTCTGGACGGTTTTTGGTAGCATGTCGGGGCTGAGATGAGTCTTGGAGAGGGTGTCGGTTTTCAAGTATAGAAGCAATGCGGCAGGTCCGGGAGCAAAAAACCGGAGGATTTGCATTGCGTAGGTAGGTGTTAAGGCATGCCTAGAAAGGTCAGAAGCGGCATTCAGGCCGCAGAACCGTTACCTGTGTGATGGAAGGTTGGGTGCTTACGGACATATCCTAATCGGCCCTTCCATGGTAGCGGAAGATAGCCGCTGTTCACAGGAGGAGGCTGCGAGGCTGCTTGTTCTACTTCCTCTTCGTCTGCCTCAACTTCGCCGTCCCGCTCAAAGTCTTTGATTGCGACTTGGCCGGTGCTCATGTTACGACAGTGTCGTTGTGTTCTGTCTTGATTAAGGAGGCGATTGCTACCTTGAATCCTGACAATCGCGGATTGTCTACACCACAATCTGGTAGAGCGCAAGAAGAAATATACGTACATGTAGCTTCATGAAACGGGAATATATTAAGTGAGCATACAAGTTGGAGATGTAGATAAAACTATGATGATGCCCGATGGTTGGAGTTAGCTGCATGCCATGTCGCCACCGTTACGGCATATTTGGGTTTTCTCCCGTTCTACTTTCGTTGCAGCTGACCCCCTTCGGCGTACTTGCCGGACGCCTACTTGTTACATAGGGCCGTAGGGCATGAACTCGGATAAAACAAAAGAACCAGTTGGTCGCAGGCAAGATAGTGTGATTCTCGTGTTGTTTGGGGACCGCTATTAGGTATCCTGCGTGCTAAATCGTATCATGGGCGAGCACCGGTAACTTACTATCGGACGAACTTTTCATTTCACAAAGCCTTCCACCTGAAGATGTTTTATATATCCTCCTGGGAGCCCTGCGGGAAAGAAACAACCATTATCTCGACAGCTCGATGTGAGTATCTCAGTCGTCGATATTTTCGGATTGCTTAGTAACCTAAATAATTCTCCTGAGATTTAGTGAGCTTTGGGCTGAACTTACAGCTAATCCTTTAAGTTACAGCTATCTTATTGGCGAATGACGTGAAGATATAACGTGACCCTGCACTGTTTAGTAACTACCACATCGCGACGTCCTTCGACAAACATCTTTGCAGATCGCAATGGAAGCATCTATCTCCTCACGACGGAACAGTTGAGAGAACATCAACTACCGAATGCTAGCACTAGCGTAAGCGCTAGTTAGTCGGCAAAAATATTACTCAAGCTTTATCACCCATCCGTTAAGCGCAATTTAATCAGAAGAACTCTGGTGATGGCTAGACTTCGGTGAATACGCTTCGAAAAGTCTTCTGTGACGCTGAAGTTCTATTTTTGCTTGCATCCTCGTGCCTGGCCCACTAATCGAAAATCAGCAAAGTGCTGAGACTCATGGATGGATCGATCAGGCCTGCAAGTAAGGCCTAGGTATAGTTAATTCCGACAGATTCGGCATGAAGGTTGCTGTGGTTGTTCCTGCAATGACTCCCATCGCCGGAAAACTCCCCGAGAACGGTGACTTTTGAGTTCGCTCTCAAAAAGGCTGCCAAATCACCTAGCTGGGTCCCAAAAGCTGGTCTGGGCCCATGCTACCACCGCACTGTCCTTCGAAGCTCTCAGCTGAAAAAAGGGGTAAATTTTACAGCGGAAGATACCAGGGTTAGTCCCGTCTCACGCGTATGGCAATGCAAAAAGTACATCCGGGGCTGAAAGAATATGGAAATCGTGAAAGAAGTCAGCGCATCCCACCCTGTCTCTTCACGACTAACTGAAGCTACAGAGAAGATGCAGGCTGAGCACGACATGGCCATGAATACGGTTTCGGCTTGGATGATACCCTTTAACCTTGCATTGGTATCACCTAGAGACCCCTACCATGCGTCAAGTAATAAACTTCAAATGTAGGCTAGCAATTGGAAACTTATGGTCCATGGTTAGCATAGCAAAAACATTGCTATCCCTGGGCTGTCTTCTGGGCCATCGAGTCACCGAAAAAGGGTCGCAAAATAAACCGATTCGGCTGTATTAACACACCGAACAACTGGCCGCCAGCAAACTATACAGCCTCTGCAAGTTTGTCACGGCAGATGGGACAATAATAACAGGTGAATATTAGTCTGTGGTATCCCTTCCCTCCTCTCCCTAGGAATACTTCTTGCCAACCACTCTTCACTCTTTTTGCCTCCCATTGTCGATCAACTGCATACTATATCACCATGCCTCAACGCAAGGAGCCAATTGCCATCATTGGCAGTGCCTGCAACTTTCCCGGCAATGCCACCACTCCATCAAAACTATGGGAACTGCTGAAGGAGCCTTATGATCTCTCGAAGCCTGTTCCTCAAAATCGCTTCAATGCTGATGTTTGGTACCACAAAGATAACGCGCATCATGGTACTAGCAACGTCACCAAATCCTATTTCCTCGAGGCAGACCCTGCTGCCTTTGACGCGACCTTCTTCAACATTCCTCCAAACGAATGCGAGGCTATCGACCCACAGCAGCGTATGCTCCTTGAAACGGTTTACGAATCCTTGTGCGCAGCTGGTGTTACCATGGAGAGTCTCCGTGGGTCTTCTACTGCTTGCTATGTTGGGCTCATGTGTGACGACTGGGCTGGCATGCTGGCTAAGGACTGGGACTGTTTACCGCAGTATGCTGCAACCGGGATATCCCGTGCCATTATGGCTAACCGTATCTCCTACTTCTTCGATTGGCATGGCCCGTCCATGACCATAGATACTGCCTGCTCGTCTTCATTGGTAGCTGTCCATGAAGCCGTTCAGGTCCTCAGAAGTGGCGACTGCAATGTCGCAATTGCTTGTGGAGCCAATTTGATCCTTACCCCTGGTATGTTGTCCCCCCTCCCCGACGGGCTTGCTAATTACTAACTCTTTGGAAATCAAGGCATGTATATTGCGGAAAGTAAGCTGAAAATGCTTTCTCCAGATGGAAAGTCACGGATGTGGGATCAAGGTGCCAACGGCTACGCGAGAGGTGAAGGCCTTGCGGCTGTGGTTCTGAAGACCCTGAGCCAGGCTATCAAGGATGGAGATCGTATTGAGTGTGTGATCCGGGAGACTGCCTTCAACCAGGATGGCCGCACCACTGGTATAACTATGCCGAGCAACCTTGCTCAGACTGCTTTGATTAGAGAAACATACAAAAAGGCTGGCCTTGACCCCCTAGATCCAAACGACCAGCCTCAGTTTTTCCATGCCCATGGAACTGGTACTCCTGCCGGGGACCCACAAGAAGCCGAAGCAATTAGCCGAGCGTTCTTCAATGATGAGCAAACCGCTGAAAAGAGGCTCTGGGTTGGGTCTATAAAAACCATCATTGGCCATACTGAAGGCACTGCAGGTCTTGCCAGTCTTATTGGTACCTCTCTTGCACTACAAAACAAGACTATTCCGCCAAACCTGCACCTTAACCAAATTGCCGAGAAGGTCAAACCTTTCTACACGAATCTTCAAGTTCCAACGACAAGCCACAAGTGGCCATCCCCCCCAGCTGGCCAGCCAATGCGTGCCTCCGTGAACAGCTTTGGTTTTGGTGGTGCTAATTCCCACGCAATTCTTGAGAGTTATGAACCGATTGAGTCACACATGCCTTGCGGCAACACTCCCCTATTCACCCCCCTCACTTTCTCAGCACACTCAGAGAAGAGCCTTCGAGGGATCCTTGATGCATTCTCCGAATTTTTGAGCCTAGAAAACTCTCCTGATGTTAGTGACATTGCCTGGACTCTGCAAAAGCGGCGCTCAGCGCTGGCATATAAGATCGCTATCTCTGGCCGAACAACACCCGACATCGTTGCCGCCATCGATACAGCTCGTAACCAAAAGGAGAGTCTGGGTGTTCGATCTTCAGGCCCTGAGAAACTGACGGTGCTTGGAGTCTTCACCGGTCAAGGAGCTCAGTGGCCAACCATGGGCAGCGAACTTATCAAAGCCTCCGCTCATGTTCGAAACATTATCGCCGATCTCGACCGATCTCTTCAAGAGCTCCCTGAAGCGGATCGACCAAGCTGGTCCATCCGAGGGGAGCTTGAGGCTGATAAGCGATCTTCTCGCCTTGCTGAAGCTGCCCTTTCTCAACCACTCTGCACTGCCGTTCAAATTGTCTTGGTAGATCTACTTAGAGCTGCTGGCACCAATTTGGAATTCAAGGCTGTGATCGGGCACTCTTCTGGTGAGATTGCCGCTGCCTATGCTTCTGGGTTTATCTCCGCTCGAGACGCTATCCGCGTTGCTTACTACCGCGGTCTGTACGCCAAATTCGCTGGTTCTTCTTCTGGAAAGAAAGGAGCAATGATGGCAGTTGGTACAACTCTTGAAGATGCTGAAGAATTTTGCCAGCTTGAGGAGTTTCACGGCCGTATTACTGTTGCAGCAAGTAATGCTGCCACCAGTGTGACCCTCTCAGGAGACGAGGATGCAATTGATGCAGCTCTAGTGGTGTTCAAGGACGAGTCTAAGTTTGTTCGCAAGCTCAGAGTGGATACCGCCTACCACTCCTTCCACATGAATGCATGCTCTGGAATGTATTTAAAAGCAATGGATACCTGTGCCATTGAGTTTAAAGCTGGAAACCCGTCCATCTCGTGGTACTCTTCAGTCATCCCCGATACAAAGATGACCTACGCCAACCTCAACGGCCAATATTGGGCTGACAACATGAATAATACTGTTCTGTTTTCACAGGCTGGGATTACTTCTGTGAAGGAGTCAGGCCCATTTGACTTGGTTATTGAAATTGGACCCCATCCCGCGTTGAGGGGACCATGCTTGGAAAACTTGGAGCAAGCTACTAGCGTAGGTGGTACACCTTATACTGGCCTCTTGTCGCGCGGTGTCGATGATGTCAAGGCATTCTCCGCTGCTCTCGGCTACATCTGGGAGTATTTTGGCTCATCTGCTGTCGACTTTGAAGGGTATGATAACGTGATGTCTTCTGGTGCTCAACGCAATAATTTGTCAGGAGAACTTCCTGGATATTCCTGGGATCACTCAAGGAGCTACTGGCTCGATTCCCGGGTAGCTACTTCCTATACTACTCGTGAGGCTCCACATCCGATGCTGGGTGTAAACGTTGTTGAAGGCACCACAGAAACGCAGATCCAGTGGAGAAATATCCTTTTCCCCAAAGAAATCACTTGGATATCCGGTCACCGATTGCAGGGCCAGAATGTCTTCCCTGCGTCTGGATATGTGTGTATGGCGATTGAGGCTATAATGACCCTTGCGAGCAACCGGGACGTGCAGCTAATTGAATTGGAGGATGTTGACATTGCTCGTGCTATTTCGTTTCTCGATGATACTACTGGGATAGAGCTTATCTTTACCCTTAATGTCTTGTCATCCGATCATGATTCTGTCAGCGCTAGCTTTCAGATATCATCATGCCCCAAGGGCGATAACATACTAACTTTGAACGGAAAAGGCAAGATATCTCTTAGTTTCGGTGTCCCCGTTGCTAACGCGCTTTCGGCTTCCCAGATGCCTCAATTCAACATGACAAGCGTTGATATTGATCGATTTTACAAGTATCTATCAGACATGGGCTATAACTATTCTCCGCCATTCAAGGCAATCAGTTCCATCCTTCGCAGGAAGGATGCTGCAGTTGGAGAAATCACTGATGCTCGCGGTGAAGCATGGGAAGACAATTTTCTTATGCACCCTGGTTTTGTTGATACCAGTTTTCAAGCCGTCTTTGCTGCATTCAGCTCGCCCGGAGATGACCGGCTCTGGTCTATCCATGTTCCTACTAAAATCAACCGGCTATCAATCAACCCATCATTAGCAGTGTTTCCCCCAGGCGAAGAAGTCGTTTGGCCTTGGCAAGCTGCCGTAACCAGTGGAACACATGATACCCCTACTGCTGACATTGAAGTTTTTGCCCCCAATAAAAATGGAGTTCTCATGGAAATTGAAGGCATTGTCCTCGTTCCACTGGCCAAGGCTTCAGGGGAGAACGATGTTAAACTATTCTCCAATCTTATCTACGATCTAGCTCAACCAGACGGTGCTATTGCCTCTCCCCATCGTTTACCCGAGTCTGACGCTCATATTGCGAGGGTTTCTGAGCGATTCTCTTTCTACTGGATCAACCAGCTACTGAATACCATCACCACTAAAGAAGAGGAGGAAACTCTTTCACACTTTAAACATATGCTTAGGTGGTGTAGATTTGTGCACAAGCAAGTTATCGATGGGGAGCACCCCTTTGTTAGGCCTGATGCTGTGAATGATACTTTGGATTATGTGGAGTCCCTTGTTGCCGATGCCGGAGATCGTGCTGATATTGGTATTCTCAGAGCCGTTGGCCAAAATATTGCTCATGTTATTCGTATTCGTGGAAATATTCACGAATATGCATTGAAGGATAACATCCTGGATCGGTTCTATGAGGAGGCTATTGGCCTAGATATCACCAACCAGTGGGAAGCAAACCTCGCTGCTCAAATTGCTTACCGATATCCACGAATGAATATTATCGAGATCGGTGCCGGTACGGGCGGATCGACTAGAATGATTCTCCCTACTCTAGGAAAGGCCTTTTCAACTTACACGTTCACGGATATCTCTTCTGGGTTCTTCGAGGCGGCAGAGAAGAGATTTAGCCAATATGCAGATCGTATGATTTTCAAAACGCTTGACATGGAAAAGGATCTCAGCGAACAGGGGTTTACCGAAGGTCATTATGATATGGTTCTTGCTTCGAACGTTCTACATGTTGGCCCTGATATTGATTTGACTTTGTCGAATGTGCGCAAACTTGTGAAACCAGGTGGTTGGTTAATCAATATGGAGGTGGCTACATACTTCCCAAGTTTACGAGAGGGTTTTTCGATGTCTGGCTTCCCAGGTTGGTGGTGTGGTGCCGAAACAGGTCGTCCATGGGGCCCAACAATAACCGTGGAGGAATGGGATAAAGTGTACAGACGAACCGGATGGTCCGGTGTTGATACCTTCACTCCCAACATTGACTCTATAGACCACTTGGTTGTTATGGTGACCCAGGCCGTGGATTCCCAAATCTACACTCTTAGAGATCCTCTCTCCCCCGAACACGCTCATTCACAACGTGAAAACCTCGTTATTATAGGTGGAAGTACTGATGAAGTTACCAGTATCGTTACAGAATGTACGAATATCCTACGGCCGCATTTCAGTTCGATCTCAAACGTAATTTCAATTGATGATTTTAGCAACAGCGAGAGTGACGCGGTTGCTACAGTCCTAAATTTGGCTGAGCTAGATGTACCAATTATGAAAGAGCTCATGGATAACCAACCCCAGAAGCTTGATGGCATTAAGGAGATATTTTCAACCCCCAGGGAGATTCTCTGGGTGACCAAAGGCAACAGATCGGAGAGCCCATTCTCCCGCATGTTGGTCGGCATGGCGCGCACCCTGCGCAGAGAGTATTCTGGAATTAACTTTCAGTCACTAGACGTTGATGTACTGGATTCAAACTCTGCCAAGCTCTTTGCGGAGACATTACTACGACACCTCAATCTCAATGAAGCAAACAGTCGGCTTGTTCCAGGATCCATTCTATGGAGTGATGAATCCGAGTATCATCTAGAGAATAACAAGATTTATACCCCAAGACTTATATCTGCTGATAAGCTGAATGACCGATACAATTCTAATAAGCGCCGTATTACCCACGAAGTTCCTACCAATTCATCCAGTATTGAATTAGCCATCAAGGGAGACTCATACGACCTTTTCGAACCATCTCCTCTTAAACCTACCGCCGGGTCTGATGGTGATACCGAAATTACTGTCATGAAGTCCCTACTTCAATCTGTGGAAGTCCCTTTGGTAGGACACTTCTTCTTGTGCCATGGCAAGGATAACTTTGGTGAAAGTGTCATCGCTCTCTCGGATCAGAGCAAGTCTGTGGTTCATATTCCAAAGCCGTGGACCATACCGTACAGTGGGGAGGCCAATCCAACACAAGTTCTTCTTTCAATTGCTAGTAATCTCGTTGCGCATCAGATCATCGAGGATGCCACAACGAAGAGTACTATTTTAGTCCATGAACCTGACCAAATTGTAGCTGCTGCCATTAGCAAACAAGCAGCGTCGAAAAAGATTCGGGCTTTCTTCACTACTACTCAAACTTCAAAGAAGGGGCCACAGTGGACTTATATTCATCCCAAAACCCCTCGCCGTTTGCTGAGAAAGCAGCTGCCCAAAGGGATATCCCTTTTTATCAATTTTTCCAATTTCTCGGACGAGCAGGCTATATCTAACCTCGTGGAGTGCCTGCCCGTTTGCTGCAAACAATCAAACAAATATATGTTTTTCGGAAACGGTGTTGCAAAACGCCTAGGCTCTGATGTTGAGCTTGTCTCCAAATATTTATCTACAGGCTTTGAAATTTCTAAAACTGCTAACTTCATGGTGCCTGACAATAGGTCCACTTTGCCTTTGAATAAGGTTCCTGGGTATTCTGATAAATATAAACACCTATCAGTAGTTGACTGGGCGGTCGATATCCAAATTCCGCTTACCGTTGAACCTATCGACCCTTATGCCAACCTTTTCAGTGCAGAAAAGACATACCTCATGGTTGGTTTGTCTGGGGAAATGGGCCAGTCTCTCGCAGAATGGATGATAAGCCGAGGGGCGAGATATGTTGTTCTTACCAGCAGAAGGCCTAAGGTAAATGCTGAGTGGATTGAAAGTATGGGAGATGAATACGGGGCAACCATAAAGCAAATGCCGCTGTAAGTCTATCAACAGTTATAGGTATCAATCATTCTAACAAGGCCTAGGGATATTACGGACGCGGATGCTCTCCAAGCTTGTTATAACAAAATCTGTCGCACGATGCCTCCAATTGGCGGAGTTGCACATGGAGCTATGGTTTTGGTTGACAGCCTCTTTCAGAAGATGAGTTATGACGACCTTATGGCAGCTCTAAAGCCAAAGGTCCTTGGAGCAATCAACCTGGACACCCTTTTCTCGGAGAATACCCTTGACTTTTTTATTTTGTTCTCTTCTATTACAGCCCTTATTGGCAACGCTGGTCAGAGTAACTATATAGGTGCCAACAGTTTCATGGAATCTCTAGGCTTGCAGCGTCGTCGTAAGGGTCTTGCCGCATCCGTCATCGCCATTTCGTCTCTTATTGGCCTTGGCTATTTTGAGCGCGCCGAAGATCTGGATATTGACCAATTTTCTCGATCTGGATACAGAAATGTTTCTGAACAGGACATTCACACCTTGTTTGCAGAGGCAATCGTTAGAGGGAGACCAGGGACGACAGAAAGCCATGAAGTCGTCTCCGGTGTTGTTCCTACATATGCTGATGGAGATATCAGAGCATCCTACCTAAAAGATAGCAAGTTCTCCCACTTGATTTTGGAACGTACTTCAGCCAAACAGGATGGAACTTCCTCTACCCATATTCCCGTCAGAATTCAGCTTCTTACGGCGACAGCAGAGGAAGAAGTTTGCGCTATCATGCAATGTAAGACCCACATTTCTCTTTCTCTAGAAGAACAGTGACTAACATTTCATTAGCTGGGTTTACACGAAGAATCAAGAAGATGTTACGTATCCCGGAAGAGGATGACTTTAACGCAACAGCTTCACTTGTAGAGCAGGGGGTCGACTCATTAGTTGCAGTTGAGATTCGAACCTGGTTTATCCGAGAAGTTGATATCGACATGCCAGTTCTCAAAGTCCTAGGTGGATCATCTGTCTCTGATTTGATAAATGATGCCATGCTGCGGATATCCCCCGACCTTACCCCTAACCTAGGAGCTGAAAGGGCTGAAATCGAAGCTAATAGCAAACCTGCACTACCCGAAGAGACTCCCGGCCCTTCTAAACCAGTAATGGTGCATAAGTCAGCTTCGACTACGCAAGAGGCTGAACCCAATTCCGAAATTATAAATGTCAATCCAGCAGCAATATCTATTCCTGCTATTACCACAACTACGAAATCAGCCATACAACTATCAACTGAAGTCAAGGACATCAAGTCTGACCGGCAAAGCGTCGACAGCTTAGCTAAATCAGAAGTCACCGAAATGATGTCCTTTGGGCAATCGCGGTTTTGGTTCCTTAATCAAGCCCTCCAGGATAAAACGACATTCAACATGGCAATATTCGTCAGGCTTAGTGGTCGTATTCGTGTTGAAGACATGGAAAGAGCCTTGGAAGCTGTGGTTTTAAGGCATGATGCCCTTCGCACAAGATACTTTTCAACTGGTGAATATATGGAAACTCCAATGCAGGGGGTTATTCCAACGTCTGCAGTCAAACTTGTTGTCAAGCATTGTAAGGATGAATCCGGTGCTTACAGAGAACTTGATGAAATCAGATCCCATGTATGGGACCTAAATAGTTGGGAAACCATGAAAGTATCTCTGCTTTCTTCCTCTGAAACGATGCATTACCTTGTCATTGGATGTCACCACATTGGAATGGACGGATTCAGCTTCAACATTTTCTATCGTGACCTTGAAATGGCATACGAAGGGCGGAAGCTTCCTGCTATTCCTAAATCTGCACAGTATGGAGCGTTTGCACGAAAGCAACGTGAAGATTGGGATAATGGTAATATGAATGCGGATCTCACATATTACCGTGAAATCATTCCTACAAACCCCAACCCTATCCCCCTATTTCCATTTGCCAAATCCAGCACACGATTGCCCCTGGATGTCTATGGTACCCATAGCGCAGACGTTCGCCTTGAGCCAGCACTGACAAGGAAAATAAAAGCTGCTTCCCGATCTCTCAGCTCGACAACATTCCATTTCTATCTTGCAGTTCTCCAGGCTCTTATCTTTCGTCAATTAGACGATTGTGATGAATTTTTCATCGGAGTTGCAGACGCAAATAGGACAGATGACAAATTTATCAACACCCTTGGGTTCCTTCTCAACCTCCTTCCAGTACGTTTCGAACGCTATGCTGCAGAGAATTTTGGAGACGCTGTACAACAGGTCCGAAACAAAGTGTATAAAGGACTGGCTCATTCTAAGTTACCTTTTGACATACTTCTGGATGAGTTAAAAGTCCCTCGGTCAGCCACTTCCACTCCCATCTTCCAGATTTTCGTGGACTACAGACAAGGTATCGAAGAGAAACGGAAGTACATGGGTCTTGATGCTGTAGGTGAAAAGTGGCAGCTTGCAAGGACTGGCTATGACATGACTCTCGATATTGTTGAGAATGCTACTGGTGAAACCCGCCTTGAACTACGGCTTCAGAAATGTCTATACACGGCAAAACATACCAAACTTTTGTTAAAAGGTTATGTGAACCTCTTGATGGCCTTTACTAATAACCCAGCTGTAAACTGGAATGCACCGGATGTTTGGGATAGTAAGACAATTAATGATGCAATTGAAGTCGGCCGCGGTAAGTTCCCAAATCTCAACTTTGAATCAAAGAGAAGCTAATTCAATTCAGGTCCTTCACTGCAATACGAATGGGCCCCTACGGTAATGCATCATATTGATGATGTAGTGTCTCAACATGGCACCAATATCTGTCTCAAGGATGGAACTGGAAAGATCATGACTTATTCACAGATGGCACGCCGTGTCAACTCTATTTGCTCCGCCTTGGCTACAGCTAATGTTACTGAGGGTGACAAGGTGGCTGTCTTCCAACAGCCCACTGCCGACTGGGTTTGCTCACTGCTTGCCATATTCCGTGCTGGAGCTGTTTATGTTCCTCTTGATCTCCGAACTCCCTTCCCTCGTCTTGCTGCGATTGTCAATCAAATTAGGCCTCAAGCGATTCTTGCTCATAGCCAAACGCTCGGAGATGTGGAACACATTAATACTTTAGCCTCCACAGTCGTGGATATAAGCAATCTACCTACCAACAGCCCATTCATGCCGAACTTTGCCAAACCTGGCGCACCCGCGGTTATTCTGTTCACTAGTGGCTCAACAGGGATCCCCAAAGGTATCCATATCAATCACAGCAACATCGTGAAACAGCTAGAAGGCTGCTCCAAACAATTTGATTTAAAGAGCTCTGCCTCTTATGTCCTTCACCAAACTGCATACTCCTTCGAAAAATCACTCGAACAGATTTTTACCGCATTAGTACATGGTGGTGCTCTCTATGTCGTTCCGGCAGAGCAGCGTGGTGACCCTATATCAATCACCAATATCATGGCCTTAGAAGGGATAACCCATACTGCTACTACACCGTCAGAATATCTAATGTGGTTCCGTTACGCAAGAGACAATCTCCTGAAATGCAAATCTTGGAAGTGTGCACTTCTTGGGGGGGAAGTTGCTTCAGATGCTGTCCTTGAAGAATTCCGAAAGCTGGGGATGCCGATCAGACTCCTTGACAGCTATGGCCCCGCTGAAATCACGATGTCCTGTGCTAAGGTTGAGTTGCCATATCGTTCCATGGTGATCGGTACACAAGCACCAGTAGGCTTCATGTTGCCTAATTACTCCGTCGCTATCGTGGACCCTAAGATGAACACCCTCCCTCTCGGCTTCGCTGGTGAGATTGTTATTGGAGGTGTAGGCGTGGCCGGGGGTTACTTGAACAATGATGAACTAACTAGACAAAAGTTCATTCCAAACAATTTTGGGGGAGAAGGAATGGTGTACCGTACTGGAGACAAGGGCCGTCTTACCGAAGAAGGGGCTCTTTTCTTTGAGGGCCGAATAGATGGTGATACCCAGATCAAGTTACGGGGTGTCCGTATCGAACTTGAAGACATTGAAAGTACCATACTTCAAGCTTCGACGGGTGCTCTTACCCATGCTGTTGTTACCGTGCGTGGAGAACAAGACTCTGCCATCTTGGTAGCACACGTTGTGTTCTCCACAGCACATACAGAATATCGCGACGAATTGCTTGCCCGACTCCCAAAGATCCTACCACTACCGCAGTATATGGTTCCTACTATCTTTGTTGCCTTAGACAATGTTCTATTCACGGCTCATTTCAAGGTCGACCGAAAAGCTGTGCAGGCTCTCCCGATCCCTGAGGCAGAAAAGAAGTCAACAGAGGGGCTAACTGAACAGACGGAAACTGAATCCCATCTTGCTGGGCTTTGGAACCAGATAATTCCAGCAGCCCACTCGTTAACACCCAGCGCCGACTTCTTCCATGCTGGAGGTAATTCTCTAATGCTTGTTAAACTGCAAGCAATGATACGCCAGAGCTTCAGCGTTAGCATCCGGCTCTTTGATATAATGAATGCGGGAACCCTCCAAAACATGGCTCGCTTAATCGATGACGCCCTTGGGGTCAAGAAGCTGGACTGGACTGCCGAAACTAATCTTCCAACGCTACCTAAGTCCAACGCCGATGTCTCATCTCCGAAACAGAAAGATATGGTGGTTATGATGACTGGAGCTACTGGTGTTCTTGGTAGAAATGTTCTTGCCCATTTGGTTGCGGATGACCGCATTTCCAAAATATATACATTGGCTGTACGCCCGCAAAGCGATATCTCAACCTTGACTCGCATTCCTGATCCTAAGGGGAAGATGGTCATTAAGCATGGTAACCTCGACAAGGCTCGTCTTGGTCTATCTGAAAAAGAGGCGACGCTCCTTTCAAGCCAAGTCGATGTGATCCTACACCTTGGTGCCAACCGTTCATTCTGGGATTCTTATTACCATCTCCGTGCTACAAATGTCTCTAGCGTCAAAGAAATTGTGAAGATTGCATACCCACGCAAGGTCCCTATTCACTTCTGTTCATCGGGAGGAGTTACTATGTACTCAGGAGGCTTTCCACCTGGCAATGGACATGATGGATACGTTGCCTCTAAGTGGGCAGCAGAAAAAGTGCTTGCCAGTGCCACGCAAGAGCTCGACCTGAGAGTTGTCTTACATCGCCCGGCGAAGGCCTTTGGGGCCACAACTAATGTTCCAGATGAGATCTTAAATGAACTCCTTTCTCTTGCCAGACTGTCTCAGAGAAAACCAGATCTAGATGGTCTGACTGGCAGTATAGGCATAGTTCCTCTCGAGCGTATTGCTGGAGACATCGTGAGGTCTCTATTTGACAAGGCCATCAATCTAAGCCATCCGGAAGTCCTGACGCACTCCAATGCTCTCAACGTCAGCATCAAGGACTTCGCTGATAAGATAACACAAGACGAAGCTGTGTCCAAGCTGGAGGGTATGCCGGCCCTGAAATGGATGGGATTGGCTAAAAAGATGGGATGGAGCCAGTTCATGGTTGGTCATGAAATCTCGATGACCAACTCCAAGGACCACATTGTGTCTACTCGATAGGCAAATAGGGAAGTGGGAATAAAGGATATCAGCTTCTTTCGGCCTCTTTTCTCCCACTACTTCGTTGACTAGATATTTTAACTATCCCGTTTGTTAGTGAATCTGTTCGTGTAAACTGCTAGTCAATAATCATCTGTAATCTTTCACCTGCTGGTTTCTCATGTGCGTAGCTATCTCAACCCTCGAATAGACCCAATTTTCCTATTCCCAGCCATTCAACCGTTATACCATTTCTCTCTGGACGAGTAACGCTTATCTACAAGTTCTCTTCCCTGTTACTTTCGTTGCCCCTTTTCATGAGCGAGTATCAGGTGGTGGAACTGATTATGTAATTAGTCACTACTTTTATATTCTTAGTCCCTGGCTAAAGCTAGGAAGATTATTATTACTAATATCATATCTAAATAAGCTACTTTAAAGCCTTTTTTTATTATATATTCTATATTAAACTTAAGATCAAGCCTTACTACTCTTAGTTACTTAAGAATAGTCTAGAGATTTATTTATAGTTACTAAGTTCCGGATTATAATAAGAGTCCTACTAGTCCTTTACCCTTAGCTAGACTTAATCTTATAGTAATACTATAGGGATATAGTCTAGAATATTAAACTATACCTTATTTTATTATTTAGCTATAGTTAACTCTATTTTAATATAATTATCCTTTAATAGCCTAATTTAAAATTATTAAGCTTTATTTATTAAAATTATAGCTTTTAGTTTTATATTTATCTAGATTTTTTAAAATTATATTAAGTTTAGAAGTAATTTATTAATATATATACTACGTTTTTACTTTTTATAGAAAATATAAGGTCTACTAGTTAGCTCCTTCCTTATAGTATTTATTATCCTTCTATTTCTCTCTTATTTTATTAGAACTACTAGTTCCTTATTATAAAAGTAGTACCCTAATTTTATAAAAAGAGATCTATTAACCCTTTTAGTCTCTCTAGTAATAGAATAAATTTTTTAAAATCCTTAGCTCTAAATTTAGATAAGGGTCCTATAGAGTTAGAGTTATTTATAAAAGATAGTTTATTATCTAATATAGATTTTAACTATAGTAAAATAATATCTATAGTTAGAAGACTAAGCTTCTTTAATCTAGAGCTAGTACTATATAAAAATAAGGTACTATTTTACTAATTTTAAAATAAAATAAATAATATAGCTCTTTATTAAAACTAAAATATAAAATTCTCTAAATTTAAACTATATGGGCCTTTTAATAGTATTAAAAAAGGTAGTACTAAATTATAGCTTACTAAACTAGATTAGGAGTTATATCCTTTAATAAACTATTTTTTAAATTTTCTAGTTATTCTACCTATAGATTACTTTATAGCTATTAAAATACTACTAACTAGCTCTACTTAGAACTAGATAGTAGAGGACTCTAGTATTAAAACTCTATTAAATATAGAGATTACTAAGGCTATATTTACTATTAAAAAATACTTATATTTATAATTCCTAGAATCTAACTAGAATAGATAACCTACCCCCCTTATTAATAAGTTATTAGTATTTAAATAAGGCTTATAAAAATTTATTACTTAGTATTATAAAAGAGAGTAAGCTCTACTATTATAGTAGAGTATAATAGACTTTCTACTATCTAGATTAATATCTTAAAGTAATAAGGTAGTATTAAGAGTAGTTCTATAAATATAGGCTTAAAAACTATAAGATACTAATATCTATAAAAAAGCTATTAGAGCTACTTTTTTAAAATCTATAAGTTTATTTTAAATAATAATTATTATTAGAGAAATTCTATAAGTTAGTAAATTAGTATACTATATAAAGGTAGAAAATACTAAAAAATAAAAACTTTAGCTCTTAAGGGGATTAATAAATTTAACTTATAATATATAGTAGATTAAAAATATTTATAGATATTATATATATCCCTTTAGTACTTTTAAGTAGGTCTCTATCTAGACTCCTAGCTCTCTTTTTAATAATATAGTTACTACTACTATTACTTAACTATAAATAATAGGCCCTACTATATTAAATCTACCTATAGACCCTATAAAAACTATTTCTACCTTTTAGATAGTTCCTAATTTTATTCTCCCTATTATATTCCCTCCTAAAAAGCTCGCTAACTAGGTAATAGTTAAGCCTATAGTAGTCCTAATTAGAGTATAAGGAGGTTTCTATAAGACTTAAAGTTAGTAATCTAATCCCTAGTAAGTAATACCTAATCCTTAAAATAGACTAAAAGGATCTATAAGTAG